AGATATTGAACAAAAGCCTCATTTTGAGCCGTTTGGGGCATTCTGGCCGCAATCTTCCTGGGATCGCCTATGACATAAGTGGAGCCATCTACCGAGAGGGACGCGGAAACACAGGATCATGAATGAATCGAGCGCGTAGTAACCGGCAAATGAAAGGAAGACTCGGCAGAGGCTATCCGGGTGGCCGGCGCGCGGCGCGCCCTTAGGCATCGGCTGACTCTTCGGACCGCGTGGGGTCAGAGGTCGCACTCGGGAAGTCTCGGCTCTGGGTTTTAGCGCTGTGCAGCCAGGAAGGAACGGAGGATAGCGTTAGCCGACTGACTAGTAGCTCGGCTTATTCGTTTGAAGTGGAAGGGGAGCACAGAACGGGATGGTGGGCTGGTGGATGGTTGGACGGTGATCAGGTTAGCGCGTAGAACGCAGCTGAAGATGCATTGTTTTACATGGAAACAGCATGCAGTATAATGTGCGGGATTATGCCAGAACTCATAAAAAATGGAATTTACTTTCGGCCGAGGGAGTGGATGGGTGCCGTGACACACCATGACGAGCACGATGCTGCCAATATCTGGGCGCTGCAGCCTACAACCATTTTCCACCCATAACATTCAGGTCACTTGACCTGAACTCAGAGATCGGCTCTGATTGACCTTAGACCCTAAAATCGGGTATCCGTCGGGTGCGTCACCTTCAGGGGCGCTCTACCTGTGCCTTTGATCTTACCAATAACTATAGAAAATCGAATAATAATATATAACAAAAAAGGCATGCTTCATTAACATTTTTATTCACACCCGCTCGTGTGCATGCTGCTTTGACCTTAGCTGCTCGTATCATAATATATAGCTTCAATGCTTAACCCTCGACCTGCTTTTGGTTTTCTGCATATACTTATCGCTCCTATTTGAGTTAGCGTCTTGCGGATAAGAATGAGCGTGCGCATCGTTATGAGGTGCAGCAACTGGCACCCGAGTTTATTGTCTCAGGTCAACCGATAAATTCTGAGGTCAGGCTAAGTGCCCTATGTCGCGGGATCGTTTTTTTATAACTTCACCACAAATAGTCACAGAGCTAAGATATTGGCACTATCTAGTTCTTCATGCTCAAGTGCGTCGAATGGAATGCGTTTTGTTTCGTTGAGGTCAGCTTAATCCGCGCCCGGGTGTGCCTCTCAGCCAGTTTCGTCATGGTGGGGGGGGGGGGGGCTTTTTGGCCACACCAGATTATCTCGGAAAGTAAGCAAGCTATAAAGGCATGATAAAAAGAAATAGATAACTCGATACAAGATCTTTCAGAATCATCTAGGTTACTTTTTTGATCAGGTCATCGCTGAGGTCACTGGAGTTCACCAAAGGTAAAATTTTCACGAACTTTTGTTCCCGATTTTGACAACTTTTCACAAAGCGGCGCATCAGTCGCGAACCAATAGAGCTACAGCGCTGCGGAAAGGTAAATTCGATAGCTCTTTTAAAGGCCTTTCTGAATATTGTTCTCAGATTTGACCTAAGGTCAACGGTTCAGCCTTCAGAGTGTAAGAACTATCAAAATTTGACGTTTTTGTGGGAAAGGTTTTTGCATCATATTTTTTTTTTTTTGTTCCAAGCTTGTATGACGCTTATTTTACCGGTATTGCGTTTGTCTCGTCGAGACGCGTCGAATAAACTATAATTGACTTTAAAAAGTAAAATGAAAAAAAAAATTGACCTCAGGTCAAGGTCACTTAAAAGGTCATGTTTGCATGTCATTCGATTCGTATTGTTGAGCTGAACACATTCATGGTGTTTTCAGCGCTCTAGCATGTTTCTGTCTAAGGCTATGGTAAAAACAGTTATATTATATTCATGCGACACAATCACGTTTCATGACCTGAGATGATCTCAGCGGCATAAAAGGGGTCACAGGTGCAAGTTCCGGTTCAGTGTGTCATCTTTACTTCTATCACGATGTTTAAGGGTATTTTCGGCCAAAAGAAGAGCATTTCAATTTCATCCTAATGACTTAGATATGAAAATTCCGAGATACACAAATTGTTCATGCTAACTTTCTCATGCAAAAGCCAGAGTTTCAAACTTCTGGGATGTGACAGAATCACAAAGTTTTTTAGAGGTATGGTTACTTAACTTGACCTAGTGACATGACCTTATGTGACCTGGGAAAAGTTCATGGGTGTCGTTTTGTATAGGCTTGGTAGGGCCCGAGCCCAACCAATGATTTCATTATTTTATCATTAACCGTATTGCGATGCATGGTAAAAATGGCTTTTGTGTCCCAAAATTAACCTTTAAAGCCCTACCAATTAATTTCGGAAAGTGATGCCCGTGCCACGGGTCAAAAATTTTAAATAGGATGCGATATTGATGTATCACTTGGCTATACCAAGTTTCACGGCGCGGTTTTCCTTACATGCGCAAAAAACTGGCAGGTGTAGCCAAAAACGTCCCCCTTCCCCCCCCCCCCCCACACTCGGTCAAAGGTTAAGGTGTTCACCTCAGGACATGGTCAGGGCAGAGCCACTCAGGCCACGAAGCTGGTCCAAGGTCATACCGCTTATCATTCGATTCGGTAGGTCCTCGTAAGTCCACTGGTGGCTTCCCGACTCGCTAGCTTAATTCGGTCGGGACTTTTTGGTGAAAACTCCTATGATCTTAGAGATATCTTGAATGAAGTCGCCTAAGATCAACAATGCAAAAGTGAATACTGGGGCTTGCAAGGATTGTAAAAAATCACAAATTAATGCACTTTAGACAGTTTTAGATTTCTCCCGGCGACAAAAAATCAATTTTCATAATTCTCCATTGATAAATAATTGTGAGGTCGCGTGACCGACCTGACGCCAGGCGACTCTTCAGAAAAAAAAAATACGAGATAACCACACACAAGTTGTGAGACCTCTGGAAGATAGTGTTAGATCCTATAAGCTTCATTCCCCGGAGGTGTTTGGAACGAAGGGCGTTGCGAAGTCGCGACAATTTAGGATCCTACCGAGGCTCACTTTTGACGTTAAATGTCATTGACCTGACCTTAACCTTGGCACCCAGAGTGGGGTGTCGGACGGACCCCACCCCAGCCCCCAGTTTTTTTTTTCGCGAATAACTCGCGCAAAAAGCGGCTGATCGCGACAGAACTCTCAGTACCCTCGAGTCAATCAACTTTACACCTGCTATAAAAACTTTAATGACCTTGACCCAAATGACCTTTGACCTTTTTCGACACCATGTTTGGCCAGAATCGTGATTCGACGTATGTCGGCTCACATTAAGCGCGGGTATCTAGTCTTGTCGTTGCTTTAAACCTTCAAACATGTGGAATGATTGTGATCCCATGGATTATGGTGGGTGTCAAGGCAACGTGAAGGTCAGGTCAGGCCATTGACCTTTGATAACCTTGGTTCACTTTCTCGAGTTTTACATGTTTCTTAGGGTAGATCTTGGAGTTGATTTTGCATTTAGCTACCATATGAACATTTACCAAGCAGTTTTGGTTCCTTCGTGACATATTACGAAGTTGTTTGTGGTGGTTGACAAAGACATCTACAATGGATAGAGCTGACAGGACGTTTACTGGTTGACTTAACCTGACCTGACCCGACCTGGCCTAAATTCACGGAAACATCTCCTGTGATTAAAACTAACATGAAATTCGTGATCAGCAGTTAGCACCCCCTAAGCCCATAATAGCTTCACTTTATAAAGTTCTAGCAGGTCCCAATTTTTTTCCGACTTTTGGGTCATTGACCTGTCAACTAATGACCTAAAACTTAAAATTGGGTATCATCGACTTCCTCTCGTCAAGGGAAACACGCTCGTTTTTTTTTTTTTGCAAAACTAACTCGATCAGGGGCCAAACGGCAAGAGAGGTCTAAAGGACCCCATCCCTCTATACAAACGCTAGATGCTGGCAAAGCACCACGACGGGCGAGGGTTAAAATTCAGTTGCTGTTACAAGATTCGGCTTGAATGAAAGGCCAGGTTTGCCAAATTTCAGCTCTCGCAGCTATCACAATTATAAACATGTGGAGGAGGCAACCGCCTCCCCCACCCCTCTTCCCCTCTCGGCCGGCGAGGTTTAAATTGGGTTAAATGCACATTACAAGGCATTTAAACAAATGACGCAACCGAACAGTCTTGTGCATTGAACAAAAACTTGTTACCCGCGCTAGTCTATCGGCACCATAACACATGGTCGAGACTGTCGTTCGCCACGGACGCGCTCTCTACCAACCCTCTGAGCCCAGTGACTGCGGGTGACATTGACATGTCAAGCCTGGATTGGCCGCCGGCCGCTGTCGTGCGGTCGTTACACGCGGAGGGGAGGAAGACACAGCGCTCTACGTTGTATCTGACCTATGACCTTTCCCCGTGCCCTGCTCACCGACCCCGCTCCATGTCGCTGGGCGGTGGCGTGGCGGTGGAAACCGGTTCTAGCCTCTACACATGCCACCACTCTAACCCTCCCCTCCCCACGCTACTACGCGGCGTGGAGTACGCTCGTGCGTAACTGGGCGGAGCAAAGGGTCACGCGATACAGAGGCGGAACTGGTTGCCCTCCCACTCGCTGAGCGACCAACGACTAATACCCTGGAGAACCGTACGTAAAAATAAGCAGACCGCTAAAGAGATAGTAGGAGTTTCGGACAAACACCGTTAGCAATGATTGCAATTGTGTCCGCGCCATGTATCAGTTGACAACGCAATGATAAATAAACGTACACACCACAACTCACGGTGTCAGTGAGTGTGGTTACAACCAGCTGTAAACGCAATAGTCATTAGAATTTAAGGACGATAATTTTCTCCGGAGCTTTCTTCCTGACGGCGAACAAACAACCAAACATTGAACACGGCCATGGTGGCACGTCGAGAAAACAGAACAATGAACACACAAACATGAACCACGCTGACACGCTGTACGAGCGACAATGGGCTAAACACCGTATTGCAGTCCCCCTGCACCCCTGCAACTGCCGCCCCTGCCTCCCGTGCTCTGCACGACCCACTTACCAGCCGGTCAACTATCTCTTTCTCTCGCGGTGGGTCAGCGTCGGCTGCCTCGGGCGGGATCAGTCTCTCCGCGCACCTGTCGCCACGGCTGCCCGCTCTCCACTGCAGCAGGGCAGCAGTCGGACCCGGCAGGCGGCAGGGGGCGGCGCACGGTCGGACCCCGGGGGAGGGGGGCGGGGGAGAAGTAGGCGGGTGCACCTACTCCACCGGGACGGCGCCCAGGACTGACCCGAGCCGCGAGCCGGGCCGGTTTCCCAGCCATTCATCCTTGAAGGGGCTCCCGGCGCAGGATGTAGTACGAGCGCGCGAGCCTCCGCAGCCGCCAATCGCGTGGCCAGGTACTGCGTCGCACCACGGGAGCGGCCAATGGGAGCGCGTGGCGCCGACGCGCCTCTTCCCCGACCTTGGGTGGCGTGCGAGTCCGGCTGCCCTGCCCCCGGCGGCGGATCGATGTTTTGGTCGAGGCCGACCATGGGCCATGACATCGGCGTCTGGCCTTGGAGTATTACATCCTAGCGTTTTAGGCATGCGATGAGGTTGCCGATTTCGTAATAGTTGGCCATCTGTGTCTGCAACGCTTCAAACGGGCTAGACTGGTCAGGCAGGTAACAAGTCAATAAAAGCTTCCCAATGATCGTGAAGCTCAACATTGTGGACTTCGTGAATTTCTGTTTAATGGGATTAATTCTTACAAGGAAATAATGAATTAACTCGTCAGAATAATTTATAGACGGACTGACTGCACCTTGGGACAATGGACATTGGAATTGGTTTAAGTATTTGCGTCTCAGTCCTGGCTGGCTGGCAAGGTAGGTCAGGTCACTCAGTCAGGTCGAGTTTTAGGTCAGACTAGAACGACTTTCACGAACCGACCCGCGAATCTTTGGAGAAGTATAACAAACGGTCGACATCGGGCGGTGTTAACACTACCCCGCGAACAGGACAGCCCAGATCGTTTAAGATTTTACCGTCAGTTCCCAATGGCGCTTGTATGTTGCAGGTTTGTATTATCACATCTGAAAGGTACTTAAATAACCAGCCCATTAGCCGTTACTGGTCGTTACTATGTAATGTTTTTGTTACCTACTCTTAGATAAATTGCGTAACAAGCGTTTTACGTTTTGACGGCCACGTGGTTCGAGCAGCTGGCTGTCACTGAACTGTAGAACAAGGTCATCTGCGGGCGGGCAGAGCCGTGGAAAAGTACCCAAGCACGTCACCAATATATGCCGCATCTGGCTTTTTCTACGACACAAATTCATTCTCGTACTATTGTCAGTGTGACCATCGATTTCGATTCCACCATTACATAACAGTGTCCCGTGCAAATAAGCAACATTTTGTTTTTATTTTCCCCGGGGGCTGTGTTTCTATCTCCACTCTAACTGCACTCTGTGGCCGTCTATAATGTTATTTCCTTTCCTCTTTTGCATCTGCCAATTGACATGGTCTGTCACCTGCCGCGTACCATGTGACCTTATGGCATACCTTTTGGCGTACACCCGTGACGCACGCCGCGAGGACGAGCCCCCGCCGCGAGGCCTTGATCGGTACGGGTGCACTTACTCCGCGCCCCCCCCCCCCTCCCCCCGCTAACAACACCAGACACCGGCGCTGCCTTCCGTACAACTACAGACAGCCCCCCCCCCCCGGATAGTATCCGACACGGTAACGCCCCCCCCCCCCCCTCCTGGAGCCTCACGGCACCGCCATGCAATCTCGCGATCACATGACACGCGCGGTCTCGGCGGCGGGGAATGCGGTCAAATGCGCAGTACTACCAAATTACTACCGGGTACGTCTGCTGCTCGGAGCAAAGGCGGCGGCGTCGCCACCGATTTTACTGTGAGAAGGGATGATGGGAAAGTTTATTTTGTTTGGTGTCCCAGCGTCAAAAAATAACATTTACCGGGTAAAGTACCTAAGCTTTAAGCGTTCAATTGTTTGTTTCTTTATTGTGTATGTTTTTTGAGTAGGTATGTACTTTTGTTACTGCTGTTTATAATTTTGTACCTATACATTTCCGGCGGACTAATTTACCTATGCGGATCATTCTAGCAATTATCTAAAGAAGTATCTACTAAATGGTTAGTGACTGCAGTGCATAGTCTGGAGTCGACACACGTCTCGGACCCTGGTGTCTCGTTAACGAGTAGGTACGAGTATGTACCTATATAGGACCTACCTCATACGAGACGCTAGAAACGTCCCTGTATAAAGGCGGCTCGAAGGCGTTGGAGCCGTATATCGCCAAATTCACGTGGAACCGTAAATAAAGATGGGACCGCATACCGTCCAATTCAGGAGAGACCGTAGATAAAGGTAGATCCGTATACCGTCCAATCCACCGATAACCATATACGCATAATGGAACCGTATAAGTTGTCTAATTCAGGTGAGACCATATATCCATGGGTGGAATCGGCTACTGTCTACTATTCACGAGAAACTGTATATAAACGTGGATGCTGGAGCCGTATATACCATACGGCTATTTACGCGTATCACCCATTTCAAATGGCCCGTATAGGTATAGAACCGGGCCTACATACCGTCCAATTCAGGTGGCACCATAAACCGGCCAGTCACAGGTCCTGCTGTATGTAATGTACTTACTAGTGATGTCAAATACAGAAAATCGGAATACCGATACCAAACCAAATACCAACCAAAACCATTAGGAAATACCGAAACCGAACCAACTTGAGAAGATGAGGAAAATACCAACTTTTTACCGATTTTTCAACTTTGTTTACATTAGCAAGGGTTCATAATACCAACAAAATACCAAAAACAATCTGATTGAAATACTAAATACCAACTTGGTATCGGTTTGGTATCGGTAGGTATACCAAAAAGTTGGTATCCGATTGACATCACTAGTACTTACATACCTGTTTATAATGAACAATTACATATCGCATAGCATATAGAAATACTTATAATTTATATAATGCCAGTATATTATGGGTACTTACATACACCCAATGCACAGTAAAATCGTTGAAGCCGTATTAATCGGCTTACTTCGGCTCGGTTACAATCGGTTCGCCTTGTTTAGTAATTAGTTCCAATGATTTCACACAATGTCTCTGCCCTCCACTACCGAAAGACCTTTTGTTAGTCTCTGAACATCGGTTTCCGGTTCTGGAGGCAGGAGGAACGAGATCACTGTGGTATTATGATTTGACCAGTCTAGTATATTTTCATTGTCCAGTGAGGCTAGTCGGTACCGGCAGTCGCATATGTAATGTAAATAAGAGTCCGAACTCCTAACATTCGCCGGGGTGGAATGGCCTTGGGCGCTGGATGCGGAACTGATTCCATCCTAAATCCCTTCTAATATATACAGGAAACATACTGGGTACAACAGAGTTGGAGTTGGGCGGAGAAGCCTTCTTCCGGGTAACTGGAAATCCTCCAACTGAATCGTCACAGTTTATGCGAATAAAATCCGTGAACGGTGAAAATAACAAAGCCCCTCTCCTGCGACGATCGTTCCCGGAGCAGCGGGGACGGCGGTAGGTGGGTACTTGACCCTGATTTCGGCGGTGCCTGCCAGTGTCACGGCTGGCGGCTGAGTGCCAGAGGAGCCGGTCACAAGTGGTTCCGAGCCGCCCTCCATCTCACTCCCGGGCCGAACTGCGTCGCCACCGGTTATGTAAGAGGTCACAGAGAGCGCCGACCGACGCGGCCGACGCGGGACGGCGCCGGAACACTGCCAGGCGCACAAACACACTGCGCGGGGCGCGCGTGCGGCCTAAAAAACGACGGGCGGAAGCGCAGTATATCAGCGACCCGCTTTTTTCATTCAGGCGAGTGACCGACGATTGACCAAGTCAAACTTGAAAAGAGCTGCGATGTCGACGCATCAATCTGTAAACAAATTGTCCACATTTTTTTTCATAACGACCGTAACCAAGATAATTTCACATTTCAGCTACTGAGGAAAAACCATCAACAAATGTAGCATTCCGAATAATTAACTTCAAGTAAACGGTCAATGTGCGGTATTTAGCAAAAACGGTTTGCATGGCCGAGAATGATATGCGCCAAACCAGACACATTAGTGGTCTTTGTTCCCTGCACATTGAAACACGGACGAATCTTGTATTTTGGACGGTTGTTGTTTTGTAATTCATTGGAATTAAGCCGAGCATGGGAAAATCGTTTTTTTTTTTTGCCGTTCTGCCGGCGAATCGCCCAAGCCTCACATGACGCACACGGTCAGTGGTCACCGGCATAGCATCCCACATAACGCCACGGCCTCAAGTTCGGACAGTACGTCATGGCCCCATGTCTCGTTAGCAAAACAGGGCCCTATCCGCCGAGACGAGCAAACATTTCGCGCGCCGCAGAAGCCAAGGTCAGGCAGCGGGGCGCGGCGCGGCGGCTGTTCTCGCTCGAACAGCGCCCGTTTGGCCTTGGACGGCGACTTGTCAACGTGAAAACGGACCACGTGCTACGAGTGCGGCCCCGCTAGCGGCCCGGGGGCGGAGCCACGGACTCATGGCGCCACATGAGTGATGAGACACACCCTCCGTACGTCTACACGGCACGCTAATATCAGCACTGGCAGTCGACCGACTGGCCGGGCTGCGTTTGCATGCATGCAATTGGTGATGTAGGTAATTACATTGTACATACGCAAGTTCGCTGAAAACCGTCCTACCTACAGGCACCCAAGCACCCATAAATATGCTTGTCATTTTTTCTGTATTCTAATTTCCATTCCATGCATGTTGCTTAATGCATACAAACAGTGTTACTTTTACAGGAAAAGTTGAGAGGGGGAATAAAGTTCGGGGCAAAGGCGGATCCAGGGGCATCTGAAAGGGGGGTGGGCGGCAATGCCATTAGGTTTTTCGTTAGGATGGAGCCCGCAGAACCTTACCTACCCCCAAATCCTATTCTTTCCCCGGATTTCAGCCACTTTATTTTGGAAGGTTGCCAAAAAATAATTTTGCTAAAAAATATACGCCCCTACTTTGGCTGTAAGGGGCGGGGGAGATCCCAACTTGACTGCGCCCTTGCAAATGCCAATCAGTAGTATCAACCTATCAGTAGTATCAATAAGTAGTATACCCCGGCCAAACATTAAAAAACGCCTTTCTAAAGAGAAAGGTTAACCCGCGCCCTGATTGGAGGTCATTTTGGCCCCCATGTGGGTTTTCTTGAAAAGCGAAAAACGGCGGCGCGCAGCGCCGCCAAATTTTTAGTTCCTTACCGGGCATCAATTTGAAACCTTCACACAAAATTTCAAGTCTTAGGTCACCTTAGGTCAGGAGTAATTGATGTCAAACTGTTCGAGCAAAAATGAGCAAAAAACATGAAATTCTTAAACGCTCACAAAAGCTAGGTACAGTTAACGAGCAATTTTAAAGTTCTTTGTGTGGTCGTGTGTATGTAGAGAAACGACGGCGCTACAAAACTGCAACCTCTACAACTACAAGGTGGGCAGTGATATCCGAACAAAAACTAATGAAGCACAAAACTTGAATTATTACTATCAGTATTGGTGAGCAGTGAAAATTCCATTGGGAAAGCCGGCCGTGATGAGGTACATTTTTTGCGCCCTGCTCTGCATGCAAAGCAGATGAACGTGAATGCTGCATAAAGAGAAAACAGTTATTTATTACTCAAAGCTTTGATGCATATGGGACAAAAATAACGTTGTTTTTCCTTCAATGATTCCGGTTTGGAGGATGGTGAAACACGGCCATTGTCATATTGGGACAAAAATTTTAGATGTCTGGCCTTGGCGTCGATGAAAAAGTGAAAATAATCGTGAATAAATGGGTCGTTTCTGAGAAAGAACACAAATAAAAGGGGGTCCAAAAGGGGGTCACCTTTTTGCGTCAAAGGAGGGGCCATGGCACATTGCCCCCCCCCCCCTGTATCCGCCCTTGGTTCGGAGAGGTCATCCCGTCCCCCGCCGGTTTCTACGCCGACGCCTGTACCGATATGTCAGTGAGTGCGAATTGCGACAAGACAAGAGATGGTATGTACTATGTACCACCGACCATCCGATCGGTTTCGGATCAAATCTGGAGTTCCCATTGCACTAAACGTAAAATGGTTGGATGGAACCGAAAATTGAAAATTAACCCTCGCCGGCACAGGGGGGGGGGGGGGGGGTTGATGCAACCCCCCTAAGGTTTTTCGCGAATAACTCGCGTAAAAAGCGGCCGATCGCGACGAAACTTTCAGTACCCTCGCATTGATCAATTTTACACGTTCCCTGAAAATTTCATGACCCTGACCCCAATGACCTTTGACCTGTGACCTCTTTTCCGTGACCATGTTTGGCCGAAATCGCGATTCGGCGTATGTCGGCTCGCATTAGCCGCGCGTTTGCAAGCTTTTCGTGGTTTCAAACGTTCAAACATGTGATTTGATGTTGCTCCCATACATTAGGGTGGGTGTCAAGGTCACCTGAAGGTCAGGTCAGGTCATTGACATTTGGTGACCTCGGGTGACCTCGGTTCACTTTTTCGAGTTTTACATGTTTCTAGGCTAGTTTTTGGAGCTGAATTCGAATTTGGCAACCATTTGAACATTTACGAAGTAGTTTTGGTGCCTTCGTAACATGTTACGAAGCTGACAGAGGCGGTTGACACGTATTACGAATACCCAGAGGTGTAGGAACGTTTTCGAAAGTGGGGGGGGGCCAGGCTCCCAGAGGCACAAAACCTCACCTACCCCCAAAATCCATTTTCTCCTCGGATTTCGGCCACTTTATTTTCGCAAGCATGCTCAAATCGGTTAAAAAAAAGTGACAAGAAAAAAATCGACCAAAATCTCAGGGAGACTCCCGTCCAGATTTAAATCTCATGGACGCGTCCCCCTGGCTTCCGCAGCCGCGTTGGCACCAGGAGCGGATCCAGGAGAACTCCAAGGGGAGGGTCATGAATCGAAGTAGTGCCCCTACCTATAGGTACCCAAAATTAAAACCTCAACGGATTTCGGCCACTTAATTTTGGTGGTGCCCTATTTTCATTTTTTTGCGCTGGCAGGCCTGTGGTGCCCCTGGCGGGCCTGTGGTGCCCCTGCTAGGCCGCAGGTGCCCCTGGCAGGTTTGTGGTGCCCCTGGAAGGACTGTGGTGCTTCTTACGAGCCTGAAGTGCCAGCGACAGGCCCATGGTGCCTCTGCGAGGCCGGTAGTGCCCCTGCGAGGCCGTGGTGCCCCTGCTAGGCCGCTGGTGCCCCTGGGCCCTGAAAGGACTGTGGTGCTCCTGACAAGCCTGAAGTGTCCCCGACAGGCACGTGATGCCCCTGACAGTCCCAGGGTGCCCGTGCGAGGCCAGTGGGTGCCCCTGGCAAGCCTGTGGTGCCCCTGGCAGGTCTGTGGTGCCCCTGGCAGACCTGTGGTGCCCCTGCTAGGCTTCTGGTGCCCCTGACAGGCCTGTGGTGCTCCTGAAGGGACTGTGGTGCCCCTGGGCCCTGACAAGCCTGAGGTGCCCCTGACAGGTCCGTGGTGCCCTTGACAGGCCCAAGGTGCCCCTGCGAGGCCGGTGGTGTCCCTGGAAGGCCTTTGGTGCCCCTGGAAGACCTGTGGTGCCCCTGACAGGTCTGTGGTGCCCCTGGCAGACCTGTGATGCTCTTGCTAGGCCGATGGTGCTCCTGACAGGCCGGTGGTGCCCCTGTCAGGTCTGTGGGGCCCGTGATAGGCCTGTAGTGCCCCCGGACCCCAAGGGGGCATGACCCATGTGACCCTACCTTGGGTTCGCCACTGGTTGGCACCCATGCGAATTCCAGAAGCATTCAAAAACTTTTTTATTACGAGCGAGCGTGAAACGTAAGAAGTGAAAAGTCAGCAAAAGGTGTGTGTGTGTGTGGGATGGGGGGGGGGGGGGGGCAGTTAACATTGCTGGCCCCCATTCGAAAGTGGGGGACCATGGCCCCTTGCCCCCCTGTTTCTACGCCTATGCCAGTAACCGATCAACTAATGCAAGGCCACCTAACATAAGTTGTTAGTTTACGCCGTTTACGCATTCTGCTGCGCCAGTATTGTCTCTCTTTGCAGCGCGCGCTGCCCCTAAGCTGCCACTTATTGCTTCTAGCAAAATTTCCTTTCATTGGGTGGAGGAAAATTGCACTCAATAACGATGAAGCACAAATGGAAATCGTCATGGAAGGGCAGGCCGGAGAACCGTCAAGTTTGTTCTTCGGGGTGGTACCTACAAAAACATTAATGTTCGGCAAAAAGTGGGGGGCCAGTTAACATTACTGGCCCCCCCACTATGAAAAGTGGGGGGGCCACCGGCCCCCCCGTCCCCCCCCCGTTCCTACACCTATGCGAATACCCGTCACAACCCCTACCGGTTGACCTGACCTGACCTGACCCGACCTGGTCTAAATGCTTAAAAACATCATCTCTGAACAAAACTAACACGATATTCGTGATCAGCACCCCGGAAAACCACATAGCAGCCACACTTTACGACTTTCTAACAGGTCCCGATTTTCCCGGTTTTCGGGTCATTGACCTGACCTGGAAGGTCACCCGATGATCTAGGACCTTAAAATTGGGTTTCATCGGCTTCCTCTCGTGACGGGCACGGGGCAACACGCTCGTTTTTTCCGCGAAGCTCTAGCTCGATCAGGGGCCAAACGCGAGGGGGGGGGGGGGGTCGTACCAACCCCCCCCCTTGTGCCGTCGAAGGACGCAAAATGGCCTGTGCCGGCGAGGGTTAATAATTATCTAAGCGCCAGCAACGTTGATTGATGACGAGAATCTGATTAACGATGACTATAGAATCTGAAAAGCGAATTGATTGAAAATGGGCTCAAAAATAAATTTGAAAGGGGGATATTCCCCCTTCCCTCCCTAGCCGTTCAGACACGATTTGAAAGGGGGAGCGATATTTTCGAAGGGGGGAAATTCCCCTCTTCCCCCTTTAAAAGTTACCCTGCATACAAATGCATAAAATGTAGGTACCTACGTTGCGCAGCTTGTATGACTATGACTATTCGTCAGCGGTTAGTATAGGCATTGCGTACTGCGTAGTCAAGGGAACTCGGGCGTACATCACTTAGTAATGCGATTTTCAAATTGCAAAAATGTTGAGATACCGATAGTGACAACGGAGTTACAATCCAGTGTGGTTTCATTTATCAGAAACGGTTGTCAAACAATCCAGATACACGTCGATGTTCGACGCATGATCATTTAGTACTCACGACTCTTTCGCTTGTTTACATTCCAGACTTCTGCTACAAGTCCAAAATCAAAACAAATCCTCGCGCTGCACGTGTCTGTCGTGGGCATAGTTTTTGCTGTGCCTTTCTGTCAATATTTTGCGGAAGTTCGCCTGTAAGTTTTAAATCTATGTATTATTTGTTGAATAAGGAATGTTATATTCGGCAAATCACCTTTCATTCCGCATCATTTGACTTGCTGTGGTGATTAGAAGTAACGACGCATTCGTCTACTTCGTCTACGCTATTTTATTGCAATACTTTTTTACATAACATTGACATTGGTCGCCCTCACACCCTTGAAGTAATAACAACTTTCTGGATTTTATTTTGATTTTAAGAATATGCAGCCTTTTACTTTGCTTATTGTTATGTTTATCCAGCATGATCTCTCGGGAGACGGGAGGTGCGCTGAGTTGACATCCAACGACTGGCCATGTTTCACAGCTGTTATTAGGTACTTAGGGTCATGCTATTTTCTGGATTATTTGCCAGCTGGCGCCTTATGGTGGCGCTAGCAGCACTTGATATATATCATTGCTATAGATACAAATGACTATCTATCTTATAATTTTTCTATGAGTGCCATTTTACGTGTTCATGTCAATTTCATACTGTGTTTATATCAGTACATAACAAAGCTATCATACGTCGCCAGCTGGCCAGTCAGCTGCTTTTATCCAGTTGTTAGTAAGGCCCTTATACTTGTGCTTTCAGATTTTATTGAAAAGTAGAAATCACTATGTGTGTTTATAGCAATGCTACCGTCATTCGGGGTGACTTAGATCGTCGGTGTGACTATGATAATGCCCCGGGTGACTCTGATAGCCCACAGGAAAACCACAGAAACACAGGAAAAGGGGGCAAAGGATCTCTGCTCTTGCAGGGATGGCAGTACAGGCACAGCACCTCAAGCCATCAGGGTCTGGGACACAAGAAAAGGACAAAGCAAGGGACAAAACCAAAGAAGCGAAGCTTCGCTGAGCAAGACAAAGAAAATGAGTCAGCAGAGGAGCCAGACTCAGGGGAGGAGGAAAAGTGTAGTATCTGTGAGAGGTGGAACCCCCCTGGAGCCACAGGGGACAAGAACATCAAGTGGGAAGGGTGTGAAAACTGCCAGAAATGGTACCATGTGTCATGCATTCAAAGTGAAATGAACGATGCTACCGCAGTCGTGGAAGAGTACTGTGATTGTACCTGGTGAGAAGGAAAACCACACAAGACGTGAAGATGTGACCATTTGTGACATGTTTGGCTCCTTGCCAGTTGTGCTTGCCCACAAAAGTTACAGTTTGACATTTTTAAAGTGTTATTTTTAAGTGTTTTGTGACCACATGCATCCGAAAGTGGGTGAATTGTGATCACTTTATGTTTTGAAGAAAAAAGACATCAAGTTTGCATTGGTGCAAAATACTTTTTTTTAAACAAACAGACCTATCATAGACACCCCCATTGCTGTGCTTGTTTGACCAGTCAACTCATTTACAATGCAAATAATGAGGGGTATCATAGTCACCCCGACCTTGGTGTGACAATGATAATTTTTTAACCAAAAAAATAAAATATAAGGGAGTGATTTTAAATATTCAGATATACACCATCATGCACATAATTCCCCATTTGGTATCTTAGAACAAACCCTGGTTCAAAATATCTTTTCAGATCTCCCCTGCATTGAAGAAAATAGCAAAAGTTTTACAAAGTCACCCCGAATGACGGTATGCATTGTTATAAACACACATGCAATGCATGCATAGCAATGCATTGTTATGTGCTTAGATTTCAGAAATTACAAAGTAACCATAGAATATTATCACAAATTCTTAACATGTAAAAACATCCAGCAAAAATAAAAAACTCATGCCATTTCATATCATCCTTCCTGCTCTTCCCGCGCTACAGGAGCCTTTCAAGTTTCTTCTTGAACCACCACAATACTGCAGCTCATAATTAGGTACTGTACTGTAATGTATTATGAAGAAGGGAAAAATTCACCATGTTGAAAGTGATCTCTCAGGCTCAAACAAACTATGTAAGATCTAAGAAGTTTTTTATGATTAAAATATAACAAAAACTAAGCTAACCTAACCTAACCTAACCTGGCAAAACCTAATGAAACCTAACCTAACCCACAGCATTGTTACAGTGACTATTGATATCATCATACAGATTGGCTAGATACCTTTGCACTCATTGCCTTATTATTCAAATCTGATTGCATGGAAGTGTAAACAACTTGAGAAAAGACATGGTGCAAAAAAGGTTGAAAAGTTATTGATTTATATGAAATATGTAAGAAATGATGGTTTCTTGTGCTTCACCCAAAAAAGCACTGTTTCATTTATGTGGCCTTATTTTTTGAATCACTACTGATACAGGGTTGGTGGGGGTCATTTTACCACCTGTAACCATTTTATGTGTTTTGGATTTTACTGCTGTTTTAGTTAGTTGTAGGCCAGTCCTCAATAATTATGATAGTAGTGATGTTGCTCCATTTTAGTCACCCTGCCCCCAGCCAGGCAGGGCTCCCATTATTAAATTGTGCAGAAGTGCATCATTCAGTTTATTGAGTGACAATTCTTTCAAGCATGCAATGTGACCATACCTAGCCACAACCCTAGCCACTTGACCAAGCATATGAGGCTCTCAAGATTTAAACTTGACAAAGTGCAAGGATTGGATGGTTCTTTGATGATACAACTTCAGATGACTGGCTCCAGCCTCCTGCCACATGCACACATGACAACAGCACTCTCTCACACACTCAGGGACCACCAGACCTGTCCGTTCCGCCCTGTCTCGTCCCTATTTGTGTGCCCGCGCCCGCCAAGGTGCTCCGTCCGCCGCCCGCTATGTTCCTCCAGCCGCCCTGTCTCGTCCTCATCCGTGTGCCCGCGCCCGCCTAGGTGCTCCGTCCGCCGCCCGCTATGTTCCTCCAGCCGCCCTGTCTCGTCCTCATCCGTGTGCCCGCGCCCGCCTAGGTCCTCCGTCCGTCGCCGGCCATGTTTCCGGAGGAGCAGGAGGCCATCGAGGGCGCCGAGGTCGTCGAGGCCGAGGAGGAGGACGACTTCTTCCTCGACGTGGACGTCTTGCAGAACCACGGCATCAACGCCGCCGACATCAAAAAGCTGAAGACGGCCGGCATCTGCACACTCAAGGGCATCCAGATGGCCACCAAGAAGAAGCTGTGCGCCATCAAGGGTCTGAGCGAGGCCAAGGTGGACAAGGTGAAGGAGGCGTGCTGCAAGCTGCTCAACAGCGGCTTTGTGACGGCGCTGGAGTTCAGCGACAAGCGGCGCTGCGTGTTCCACATCTCGACCGGCAGCCAGGAGCTGGACAAGCTGATGGGCGGCGGCCTCGAGTCGATGGCCATCACCGAGGCGTTCGGTGAGTTCCGCACCGGCAAGACGCAGCTGTCGCACACGCTGTGCGTCACCGCCCAGCTGCCCGGCGAAGGCGGCTACACGGGAGGCAAGGTGATCTTCATCGACACCGAGAACACCTTCCGACCGGACCGGCTGCGGCCCATCGCCGACCGATTCAACCTCGACCAGAGCGCCATGCTCGACAACGTGCTGTACGCGCGCGCCTACACCAGCGAGCATCAGTACGAGCTCATGGACATGGTGGCCGCCAAGCTGCACGAAGAGGCCGGTGTGTTCAAGCTGCTGATCGTGGACAGCATCATGGCGCTGTTTCGGGTGGATTTCAGCGGTCGCGGCGAGCTGGCCGACCGGCAGCAGAAGCTGGCGCAGATGCTCTCCCGGCTGCAGAAGATTTCCGAGGAGTACAACGTGGCCGTCTTCCTGACCAACCAGATGACGGCCGACCCGGGTGCGGCGCTCTCGTTCCAGGCCGACCCCAAGAAGCCGGTGGGCGGCCACATCCTGGCGCACGCATCCACCACGCGCATCTCGCTGCGCAAGGGCCGCGGGGAGGTGCGCATCGCCAAAATATACGACAGTCCCGACCTGCCCGAGTCGGAGGCGTCGTTCGCCATCACGTCCGGTGGCGTCACTGACGCCAAGGAGTGACAGGATGGAGCGGAGATCACCGGTCAGTGACGGGCTCCGCCCTCGGGGTCGGGCTGTGCGCGCCGGGACAGTGATGGGCTCCAACCTGGGGATCGGGCAGTGTGCGCCGGGCTAGCGGCGGCTGCCTGGGGATAGTGGGTGAGGTGAGGTAGTGATTATAGTGAGTGAGCGTGCCATGGACGAGTCCAGCGGAAGAATGATGTCAACTTAGGCTTTGTGCTTTAGAGATGTTACCAGAAAGTGTTTGTGGTGTCATTGCGATCTCCCGATATCATGCTACGTTGTTCGCCGTTACTGTTTGCCGACATTTAGCAGTGTGCATTGCCATCGTGATGTTTTTAGCTGTCATCGTGGTGTTCCTTTTATGTTAGATTATCATTCGTTTGGTAATGACCGCTGACTGACTGGGTAACATTTCCCTATTCATACTTCTCTCACTAAGACCCATTGTATTTTGTCTGCAGTGCCTGTTTGTGTGCGAGTTGTTTCTTGTTATTGCATCATTCATTTATCGAATCTTCATCCTACATTCCATTTGAGTAGGACACCGTCACATACATCATTTATAGGCATCGATTCCTCATCCTGTCTCGCCTGTATGTTCACCGCTGATTATCAACTTTGTGGAATAGATGCTACACAATATGTAAACTTTTTGTCCTGCATGTGTAAACGTCGGCGCTGATGCATCTTGCCACGATCTCACCACCACTGTTCTGTTTGTGTTAAGCCTGAAACAGACTCTTTCCGCAGTCAGGAAATCGCATGCGAGAGCCTATTCAAATACATGGAAGCACGCTCGCATCAATCGCACTCACCTCCCTTCTCTTCTCGCAAGCGATTGATGCGAGAAGAATTACAATGTATTTGAAAAGGCTCTCGCATGCGATTTCCTGAACGCGGAAAGAGTCTGTTTCAGCCTTTAGGGATGAGTTAGATAACTCTCGCACCATGTTGCCTGCATAAGTTCAGTTCACTAATTTCTTTCTATGCTACACCATACGTACAATCACTAAGTCATGACAGTGACACCATCGTAGTTCATAGCGCAGTCATTGCTAATCCCGCTGGGAGAGCGCAGAGACGGTCCAGTCTCCGGGGCGCCGGTGCCAAGTGTCCACCTGCCGTGTCCGTTTCAGGTGAATGTCGCCCGCCACTGAGCTGCTGCCGGGGTAGCCGGGCGGCGCCGCCTGCCGCCCCGGGCCGGCAGCCATGAAGAAGGTGCTGTCCCGGCTGGCCAAGGTGGGCCGCTCCTCCAGCCACGCGGCTGCCGAGTCGGCCGAGCGGGACCCCCAGGCAGACGCCCCCGGCGGTACACCGGAGGAGCAGACAGAACGGCCGGCCGCCTACGACGTAAGTCAGGAAGGGTTGAATGAGTCGGAAACTTAGTGGAAAACGTCTTCGACAGCAAAGTTTTGTAGAACAACTTTTGTTACGAGATTAATGAAATACATCGTTGATTCTGCTTCGTGAGGATATTATGTAACTCATTTCACTCCTCAAGTACGGAAACCCAGGTGCTTAGTACAAATACTTCGGATAATTTCTGTGCGAAGGATCTGCTCACACCGTACCTACTTATCAGTCGTAAGTTGTGCCTCCTGCCGTGCGGCGATGTAACCGCACCTCCCCCTCTCCCCACAGCTGGTGGGCCGAGAGCGCGCCCTCTCCGGTCTGCAGCGGGCCGTCTGGGACGGAGACGTGGCGCGCGTGCGCTCACTCACCGCCAAGTCCACGGCAGGGGTGCAGGCGCGCGACCGCGAGGGCCGCTCGCTGCTGCACCTGGCCGCCGCCCGCGGGCACCGCGAGATGGTCGAGCTGCTGCTGGAGAGACGGCTGCCCGCGGACGCTGAGGACGGCGACGGCAACACGCCGCTCCTGAAGGTGCGGAAGGGGAGAGGGAAAGGCACTGTAGCTCAGCTCTGCTGTGAATATGGTTTGTAATATGTATGGGTGAGATGCAATGGATAATTGGAGTGTTTTTATCATTGGTGAGAATCTTTCATTGCAAGTATCGGACAGCTCTGCCAAAGAACAGGAACGATGGTTTTGCATCGGCATAGCTGTGACGTTTTGTCTAGAATATGACGTATCCTTCCTGAGTGTGAAGCATCCTCTTCAGGCCGCGGAGGCGGACAGCTCGGCTGCCACGGTGCGCCTGTATTAGCTGTGACGTATCCCTCCTTACTGTGACGTATCCCTCCAGGCAGCGGAGGCGGACAGCGCGGCTACAGTGCGCCTGTATAAACTCTGACGTGCCCCCCAGGCGGCAGAGGCGGACAGCTCGGCTGCCACGGTGCGCCTGTATTAGCTGTGACGTATCCCTCCTTACTGTGACGTATCCCCCAGGCAGCGGAGGCAGACAGCGTGGCTACAATATTGCGCCTGTATTAATTCTGACGCATCCCTCCAGACTGCAGAGGCGGACAGCGCCGCCGCGGTGCACCTGTATTAACTGTGACGTATCCCCCAGGCAGCGGAGGCGGACAGCGCTCCCACGGCGCGCCTGTATTAGCTGTGACGTATCCCTCCTAACTGTGGCGGTTTCCTCAGGCAGCGGAGGCAGACAGCGCGGCCACGGTGCGTCTCCTACTGGAGCGTGGAGCCAGCGCCAGCCACTGTAACCATCACCAGCAGAACGGACTGCATGTGAGCGCCCGGCGCGGCGCCGAGCCCGTGCTGCAGGCGCTGCTTCAGCACGGAGCCAACGTCGACCAGGTGGACAAGGTAGGCGCGTGGGGTGGACAGAGTGGACAGGTTAGGACGGTGGGGTAGATAGGATAGGACGGTGGGATGGACAGAGGTGAACAAGGTCGGCTAGTGGGGATAGACAAAAGTGGGTGGTTAGGCCGGAGATTCGGTTATTTTTAGATTTCAGTGATTGGTTAGATGCGGGTTTTGTGCGAATCGGAACCGTTTTATTGCGGCTAACTATACTGAACTGCCTCTCTAGGCTCTCACCGAGCATGCTATATCAAGGTTCATTCCTTCTCACTACTAGTAACGCATCGTCGTCGCCTACCATCTCGACCCTTTGCCACCAGCCTTCCCGCTGCTCGCCCGGCACACTGTTTCCCCAATCTCACAGGACGGCATCACGCCCTCACATAATCCGTTCCCACTTCCCTCTATCGCACAGGATGGCCACACGCCGTCATGTCACCCGTAATTCCCCCAATCAGCTATCATACAGGACGGTCACACGCCCTTACGTAATCCATTCCCTCCCTGTCTATCACACAGAACGGCCATACGCCGTCACATAATCTGTTCCCTCTATCTCACAGGACGGTCACACGCCGCTGCACCTCTCCGTGCTGCACGCTCACCCGGAGCTGGCGGCCGCCCTGCTCCTCCACGGCGCCGCACTGGCTCCCGCCGACCGTGACGGGCGCACCGCGCTCCACCTGGCGGCCGGCCGCGGCCTCTCCGAGCTGGTGGCCCAGCTGCTCGAGGGCGGCGCCGAGGCCGAGCTGAGGGATAGCGAGGGTGAGATAAGGGGTAACGAGGATGAGATGGGATGACGAGGGTGAGATACGGGGTGACGAGGGTGAGATGCGGGGTGACGAGGGTGAGGTAAGGGATGACGAGGGTGAGATATGGATGACGAGGGTGAGAAGGGGTGACGAGGGTGAGCTGGGTGGTGAGCTGTTAGATAACGAAGATGACTTTCCTCTGGCTAGTGGTGAATTGTACGTGAAGTGTACGTGTAGTGGTGAATTGTACGTGAAGCCAGGACATTGAAGTGTCCTGGCTTCTACAAAGAGTCTCGATAGCGATCATCCGGGGAAACTCCGCCGCTATCCTCGCCACAGCCCCTCCAGAAGCTGGTCCCCATCACGTTGGGTGCGCCGCAGGACGCACGTCTGGCCCGGCAGAAGAGTCTGACTCAGCCATAGACGGCGAAGTAGCTCCACCGGCTTCATCAAAATCCAGCGTATTTGGCCAGCTCATCGAGAATGGGAGAAAGCTAGCCCCAAGCGACTTTGAGGTTCCATGGGGCGAAATATTTGGTGCAAAACCAAAGCACTGACGGAATATGAGTGGTAGTGTCTAGTGTGTCATCGAAATGTACCCTGTGGTAATGTGTTTACGAACCGAAGTATGTAGACGCAACAATTGTACGTTGTAATGTAATTGTTGGACCGACACTTGGCCGATGAATTGTGATGCATTTGGGGAAGGGGTCACTGCAATGGTGTATTACTTTGAAGAGTGCCTGCCAATCTGCCGGCGATCTGAGTATTTGAGAATCTGAGTACTGTTCCCTGACTTTTGATTTCGGATCTGCCGACGTGATAGGCCCCCTCCATCATCCCCCAGGCCTAGGCTGTTTGAGCGCTGCGTCGTCCTATCCGACCGCCCTGACCGCCCGTCCACCACCACCAGGTCTGACGGCCGGCGAGCTGGCCGTCCGGGAAGGATTCCCGCACATTCAGAGCCAGATTCGCCGGCTGAGTCGCCGCCACCGCAGCCTCAGTCAGATGTTCAGCGTGGAAGACCTGGGCGTGGACGGGCCGCCACCGGCAGAAACGGCGGTAAGGACACCACCGCTCAGTAATGCAGCTTCTTAGTTGAGGGTCATTATTCTTTGATATGCTTTTTGAAAACAGTCAGCAGTGATAGTTTTGCTGTTTTGGTAATTGTTTATCGACCTGGTTTCCGAATAATGCTTTAACAAGGTATCATGTCTCATTTTTGTTTGTTGAAGTTTAATCTACCGTATTTGTATTTGTCATTCTAATGACCTACATACTTACAACTTATTTCCCGTTCTGTCTCTCCCGTTCACAGAAGGTGCAGCGTCTGGGCTCGACGTCGTCCGCCGGCGTTCCGACGCCTCGCGTGGCCTCGTCTCTGTCCTCGGCCGGCGCGCCCACCCCTAGACTGGCCTCCTCACTGTCATCTGCCCGGGAAGCGGCGCCGCGGCTCGCCTCGTCCCTCTCCTCTGCGGGGGAGCCGGAGCCGGGTCCGGGGCGGTGCGACTCTGCCGCCGCCCCCGCCGCGCCGGTCAGCGTCGGCTCCGACTCCTGGAGCGACGACGACGAGCTTAACTTCGTGCCCCCGCCGCGCAAGGTGCGTACTGCGCTCGGGACCGTGGGGAAATGTTTTGCGAAGACTGACGCCATTTGTAGATGCCGCATTTTGTGATCTTGTGCGTGGAACTTTGACTTTTTGTGCATGTCAGTAATTAAATGCCCATGGAATTATTTTCTTTTCAGATACCGCCTAATGGTCTCTAAGCGCCGCTCAAAAGTCTATTGATGAACGATGGCTTATAAGTCTGCTCTCATTGCTTTGCAGTCTGATTCGCAACTGCATCGTACTTGTCTCTAATTCCTCCGTGTCTATTTTCAGCCGTCCATCCCCCTGCCGGCCTGCTTCCTGGCGGGAACGTCTCCGCTGCCGACCGACCGTGCTGGGGACCGCAGCGGGGTAGAGCCTGCCTCCGGTCAGCCTCACTACAGCGACATTAGTGGAGTAAAGAGGCTTTCCTCAGACAGCGGCGGCGGCGACGGCGACGGTGGACCGGGAGGAGATAGTGGCGCTGGTGACAGGGGTCAGCGGCGCACCAGCTGTTGGTCCAGTGGGACCGAGTCCGAGTCACCCAAACGGACGGGCCGGTCCAGCCCGCGGGCGCGGCCCAGCTCTGAGAGAGGAACGGAGGAACAGCGAGAGGACGTGGAGAGAGCTGATGGTACAGAGAACAGCTGGAGCGAGCCGGGCGTGTCGCCGGTGAAACGGCCGGACCCTCGGCCGGAGCGGGACGATAGCTGGGGAGACGTCAGTCCAATCCCGTTTGTAACCGCAGCCGCGAACGACTCCGGGCCGAAGCCCTCGATGGTAGAGACGGGCGCCGGTGATGCCCCACTGTCTGCCGGCCGCGCCGCCCCGGACCCTCCTGAGGTCGATCTGCCGGATGGTGAAGACAGCTGGGGAGATGACAGTCCCGTCCTGCCCCGGCCGCTGCCTAATCGACCACCGGCTCTTGTGGCTGACCCGGCGCCGGAGCCTGGGATCGAGCGGGCAGACCCAGCGCCGAAGCGGGAGGTCGAACTGGCAGACTCGATCTCAGAGGACAGCTGGGGAGACAGTGGTGGTAGTCCCATCTTGCCCGGGTCTCCTTCAGACCGCGGTCCGAGTCGCAGGACCAGTGCCGTCCGCCCGACCAGCAGAGGTGGCCCGGCGGACGGAGGGACGGAAGCAGTGAGAGAGACCACTGTTATGTCGGCGGTGGAAGACGGGAAAAGTGTAGGTACCGGGCGCCGGTCGTGAGGGAGCCTCCCGCACCGCCGCAGCCAGCCGCCAGGACCGAGAGACAGCCGTCTCCAGTGGCGCCGGAGGACAGTTGGGGTGATGTGAGTCCCGTGCTGCCCCGTTCACCTGCCCGGCTGTCAACACCGCCTCAGTTGGGACGATCGCCGGCGGATCAGACTGCCACTGCGGCTGACGGCAGCGACACACGTGGCGCTCAGAAGCCCGTGTCTTATGTTAACCAGCCGGGCGCTGAAGATAGCTGGGGAGACGTCAGTCCGATTCTGTCCCGTCAGGGTGTGCCAGCGACAGCAGCGACCAAGCAGACTGCCGAGGAGGATAGTTGGGGTGACACCTCGCTGCCTTCAGAGCCCGCCGCGGTAACCGGAGGAGGAGCCGCGGCGGACAGGGGAGATACAGAACACAGGGAGACTGACGGAGGGACGGAGCCGAGACCACAATCTCCCGAACAGCCGTCCGATGAGGAGAGCTGGGGATACGAGTCCCTGCCCGCGATGGGGCGCTCCGACAGCGAGGGTGCTCCCAGTGAACGGCGTACGCTTCAACGAAGCCAAAACGAAGTCAGTGGCTCGCTTTCTCGCAAAGGGAGCAGGGAGCCTGTCTCTGGCAATGTTTCAGCGGCCGCAAAAGTCAGTGAAGATAGCAGCTGGAGTGATCACTCGAGTAGCTTAGGCGATAAAGGCACGTGCAAATTGGAGGATAGACAGGATTTCAAACGGAGACAGGGCTCGGAGCTACGAAGTGAGAGTCGAGCGAAAATATCTGAATCAGTTACCGGATCGAGGCAAGATTCATTTGTGAGCGAGAGACAGAAGAGCATGTCTAGCGAAAGTTCTGTGCATGCTGTTGAAGGAACTCATGGCGAGAAGCCCATGCGCTCCCCGTCCCCCGTGGCACCTCCTCGACGCCTCCCCGGTCTCCTCACAAACACTGCTTCGTCAGCAATCCCTGCACAAGCCGAGCCGGCGCGCCGTACCCGTGTCAGCAGCTGGTGTGACGACCCTGTACCGCCGGCCGGTCCCGCTGCCCCTACTCCTGCCAGCGCGGCTCCAACTGCCGAGGACAGCGGCAGCTGGGACGACAGCTCGTCGGCTGCCGACGATGGAGGAAACTCGGCTCGACTGGTAGCCTCGCCGCCGGTGGAAGGAAAAGACACGACGCCGTCGGAACCGTCAAGCTACCTAAAGGCATCCGCTGATTCCGAGACAGCACATCAACCCCAATCGTCAGCTCCCACAGCCGCCCCGGTGCCTGAGCCGGACGACGATACCTGGGACTCCTCGGTGGCTGAATCGGCCGCCAGCCCGCGGTCGGAGCCTGGTGTGCCTGGGGACGCCGCTGGGACTGGCCCGCAGCGTCCCGTCCGCCGACGGAGCGTCACCCTGCTGTCGCCGCCGCGCTCCAGGGAGACGTCGGCCTCGGAGACGGCGGACGCCACTCACACACAGGTGGGTAACGCTCCTCGTGGTAGTGCGGCTCTGCTGATTAAAAATCATACGAACGTGCAACGTGTTTAATGCGCTATTTTTTTTTTTTTTTTTTGACTTGTTAGCTTACACGTTATGGCGAAAACGAGTCAAGTTTTAATCTGTTGATCATTTTCTTAAGCAATTTTGCATCATTAAATGGTTCTTTTTATATGGCTTTGGTTTTATGAAGTACGATTTTTCTCTTGTGGTTCCAAGCAAGGGTCAATCTTCGTTGCAGTGTTCGACGAGTCTGGCCGGAACGCTGGGCCGCGACGGGACCCTGCAGGGTACCGATGAGCTCTGGGCAGGTAACGCCACCCTGCGTGCCGACGGGACGATCGGCGGCGGCTCTCCGCGGAACGGCGACCCTACCGACCCGTCTCCGCGGCCGGTGGAGCCGCCGCCGCTGCAGCTGGCGTCCCCCGACCGGCCGCCGCGGCTCGGCCAGCGCCGCGTGTCCGTCAACCTGCCGCTGTCGGCCGACCGGGCGCTGCTGGTGACCGGGGAGCGGCGCCGGCGCGGCTCGGTCACCTCCGTCTCGTCCACCTCCTCGGTGAGCTCGCTGAAGTCGGTGGGCCGCACGCTGCGCGAGTGGCGGCAGACGCTACTGGCGCCGCTGCGCTCCCGGCGCCGGCGCCGCTCGCTCGAGCTGCCGGTGCGCCGCCACTCCATCGCCATCGACTCGTTCCTGACGGAGCAGGCGGAGCTGACGGCCGACGACCAGGTGGAGGACATGTACCGCGAGGAGGAGGCTCCACGCCGCGCCGTCTCGCACAGCCCGGAGCCGGCGCCGGCGCGACCGCCGCGCGGACGCCTGCGCTCCCGCTCGGTGGAGGCGCCGCCGCCGGCCGCGGCGCCGCGCCGGCACCGACTAAGTGGCGGCTCGCTGGCTGACATCGTCGAGGCCGACGCGGAGGAGGAGGCGGAGGAGCGCCGCCGCCGCCGGGGCCGCTGGCGGTCGGCCGGCGGCGGCGGCAGGCCCGGCCGCCGGCTCTCACTGGATGTGACGGCGCTGGGCCTGCCCCGCAGCCGGCACCGCAGCCTCGTGTCGCCGACCGCAGACCAGCGCGGCTCCGACGGGTAAGTCGTCCCAGCCGGCCGGCTCCCGAGCTGGCGCCGGTCATGTCATCTGCTGTTGGTGTTAGTGTCACATATTGCCTCAGTGTCACCTGGTCCTGATACGAACGGGTGGGTCTAACGTACTAATACGGTGTCGTTATGATTACCGGTAATGATCTTCCTACGGACAGATCGGCACCTGAAGACATTTTGGTTAGATAGCCTGGTAATCGTATGGGGATAGACAAAAACGTTCAGTTGTTTGTACAGGGTGGGGCGTAAGTTCTGTTACAAAGTAAAACCTCAATATTTTCAAAAGTAATGCTTATATTTGCATTAAACTTTCAGCACAGGTTCATGGCACCACTGCCACCAGACTGTCCGAGTTTCACTCGAAATGGCCACCCTTGGCCTGCACAGTCGCCGTCAGTCTCCGGCGGAAGTCCCCTACGGCGGCGAACACGACGTCATCTGGGATCCTATGCCACGCGCGCACGAGATCACGCTTGAGATGGTCAATACTCCTGTGAGGCACTGAGCACACCTTGCTCTCAAGCACAGACCACAGGGAGTAGTCGAGCGGGTTCAGGTCAGGCGATGAGGGCGGCCATTCCTCCTTGGTGATGAACCCCGGGCAGTTGTTTTGGCACCACTGTTGGGTCTCTCGCGCAGTGTGACTGGTAGCGCCGTCTTGCTGGAACGTCCAGTGTTGATCACGGAAGTGGTTTGCGGCCCACGGTTTCAGACTAGCCTCTAGGATGTCCCGGATGTAAACTTCGCGGTTGATCTTCACTCCTTGTGGGACAAAAACCAGTGGTGACTTGCCCGATTCACTCACTGCAGCCCAGACCATCACTGAAGCCGGCTTCTGTGTTCGGAAGACTCTTCCGTGGTCCTCCGGGATGCTCTGGCGGTTACATGAGAGGACTCGGTCATTTTGCTGGTTAAAGGAAGCTTGGACGGTAAACAGCTTCTCATCGCTGAAGACAATGTTTCTCAGAGTGCCCTCACGAAGCTTCCCGCGCAGGAGTTTGGCTCGTGCCAGCCGTTTGGCCTTCGTTGCTGCGCCGAGCAGTTGTCTCGACTGCAGCTTGAAGGGACGCATCTGTAAGTCGCCAGTCACCAGCCGTCTCATTGTTCTTGAGGACATCACTTGTTCTCTTGCCATCTTCCGCATAGACTGGCGTTGATTCCTGCGGATTTTGTCCCTAATTTTTTTGATTGCCACCGGAGTGCGGCAAGATCGCGGCCTCCCAGAGCGCGGTCGGTCTTCCGTTGACTTGGTTTCCTGGAACCTGTCCAGCGTTCGCTTTATGAACATCCGGTTGAGTTTCATTTCCTTTCCTGCATGATGAATCTGTGAGTTTGTCTTTCCCTTCAAAAATTGATTGATCACGAATTCCCTCTTAAGTTTATCATATGAAATCTTCATTCCGGAAAACACTTTAAGAAAATAAGCTCAGATAGCACCGGAGAGACAAATACCCTCTGCGTTTCAAATATGCATAAAAATGAGAACAACAATAGCACGAATTTGATACTTTCAAAAAATGCTCACAATCTACAGGCGTTTTTAACAAGGTACTTGCGATAAATTAATTTGGGTCAAAAGGTCATTAACATCAGCCCTAAAGATTTGTAACAGAACTTACGCCCCACCCTGTATTTCTGCTTGTTTTAACCTGTATCCCCTCTAGATGCTCTGGCGTGAAAGGAGTGATGGACCCTGAGGCAAGACCCGTCAGCCTTTTAAATTTACTATTGCCTGCCCCCCCCCCCCAAAAAAAAATGCATGCGGGCTAGTCCGAGGCCGTAGTCAGCCTACATCACGGCTGCCATAATGACTTCAACGCCACGGCTTGAGCAGTGCCTATGCGCTTCAGACATTGCCCTCCGCTCCCTCCCAGCCTGCATCGTTCTTAGGTTTAAATCACTGAGGTTTTCCGTAAGTGGGCTGTAATTTGTATTCCACATGTGAAAGACATAGGACAGGACGGAACTGCACGACACGTGTCGCTGCCAGACGTTTCTGAGTAGTGCCTGGCTGCGGGGAAAGTACGTCCGCCTCTTGGCTCAGTCGTTGATGATCTGACCGCACTTGTGAACAACGATCCGCTTCAGAGGAACTCCCTGCGCCGTTCCCAGCGCCTCGATCTGAAACAGACGTGATATGCATTAGTCATCGTGTTTAACCCGCGAGTTGCTGGGGGGGGGGGGGGGGCGTTAAACGCCCCCACTTTTTTCGCCGGGCCATAGCATAAAAACGGCGCGCCTGCGGCGCGCCAAATTTTGGGTACCTGTAGGGAATTGATTGAAGCTTATTGTGACAAAGTTTCAAAAAAATCGGTCGGAAAATTTTTGAGTTATCGAGGTTTTAGTGACGTCATGATTTCTGGGTTTTCGACCAAAAACGGCATATGTTCAAAAAATCATATAAAATTACAGAATAGACATACAGACATGCCGTAAACGCCATTAGACTGCCAATACCATGTACGATCAAATGGCTATCTTCGATTATTGATTATCGTTCCGCATTTTCCAAAATCTTGAACTGAATCTTGGCAATTTCTCGTGACTTCTTCACGACCTTGATACGTGCATTTCTTAAATTGAACTTTTTGAGCCAAACACGTACAAATATGAT